AGCCGGGTCACCTCCAGTATTATGATATTCCCGGAAGAGGACACTAATAAACTGTATGGACACCTCTTTATACTGATGGACAGTCCTACTGGTCTTAAAAATTCCACTAATCAAACTTCTACTGACGGCCAACTTTCTACATCGATCGCCCACCTCTCCATAATGGCCACGTTTTTTTTGCAGAGCCTGATATGCATCATTCTCATCTTTTAACCTCGGCCACATACTGTTGTCCACATGGTGGCCGTTGTCGAAAGATTTGGCAGCAGATGCAAATTTTACTATTATAATTTTAACACGGGCTGTTTAACGAGGACACTTGTAGCTTCCCTCTGCGACGTTTTAACCCTTTAACTTCTAATAATCCCCCCACCACCACCACCAACAACAACAACAACAACAACAACAAAACATTAAAATTCCAAATTTCTTCTTGTAAAATTCTAATATTTAAATCGCACTACGCAAATGTTCTACCAGAGAGATTTCATTTGAATGGCAACACCGTAGGATTTTATCCACAGACACTAAAGTTAGAATGATGAATGAACCCTTCACAACTCAGTCTGGGAGAGAAAAAGATTTAATGCCGATACCCTAAAAGTAACCTCGGGAGCTCTCATTGACGTCACGCTATTGTTCCGATACAATACAACAGACAGAGAAGCCACTCGAGTGTTGGCATTATTTGGCCACTTGTCTGAGTGGCAGTTTAATTAATTATAAAACAGACGCATTAGTGAACAACGATAATGCTAAGTACGGTATTTTCAGCAAAGGTGGGCAAGAAATTCGCCCAATGAATAAACTAAGCCGATAAACGCATAGTAGGTCTGCTGACTCATGGCAAAGTGGGAAGGGGGGAGGGAAAATTTTTTTTCTGCAAAGATATGGAATCGCCGTGATGGTGAAAGGAAGAGGGAGCAAACGCGGGAATGCATGTTCCTTTATACGAACACTCCCTTTGGGCGATAGAAATGATTGGCTCTTAAAAGAGAGGTTAGATTGATACGAGTCGGAAGACCAACCATGCAGACTACAAAGGCATATTGTATCGACATAAATAACATTATGCCTTAACATAATGTTTGGTTATTAAGAAGTTTAATCGAATCTTTGAGCATTACGGATCACACTTGGTGTCATCAGTGCACAACTCACACTTGTCCACAAATTGCTAGTAAAGTAAAATCCGAGTTTCACACTTGTAATCCTAGTTGACAAATTTGTACTATGAAAAGTACTGCCGATTTTCAATGACGAACTAAAACCTCTAAATGGCAGCTAATACCGTGCCTAACAGCTCTGCCAATAAAGCCCGCAAACTGATATAAGTAACCGAAACTCCAATTAAATCTAACCTAGCTTCCAGTGTATTAAATGATAAATCTCATGCAGTTCAAACACTCGCAGTTCTAAATGATTCAAGCTGTCCTTCTAACAGCGCTGTTCTAAGAATTTTGGGGATAAAACTAAGCCGACAATAGATTATTATTGGAAAACACACACGTTTAATTACGAAAAAAACATCCAACGTGAGTTAAGCAGGGCGGGCTAAGATTGCGATGCTACTGAGAAATTTCAAAGAAACTGAGATGGTAACCTAAGGCCACGATGTAAGGTCATTAAATTCATCTCGTGGTCGCACGGGTTTTGCAGCACTCGGTATCATCAGAACCTTGCTTTCGCGCGAACTATATCGTGATTTAAGTCAAGTTACGTCAAGTTACGGTAATCGAGATTTTTTTCTTGATAGTTAATCAACACAGCAATGAGGAAACCTGGCTTTGAAAAACTCTAGTGAAACGTTTTAAAGCAGATTACTTTACAGCCGACTATATCTCTCAGTTAGTACTCGCGCTGTGGTTGGTCAATAACATTAAAAAGTTTGTTTGGTCCCGAAATTCATGACAGAAAGACTTTGTAAAACTAGTCTGCACAGTCCCCTATTTTTGCGTAAGATCGGCCACAGAGCGGCCCCCTTGGTTTCAAATGCACTTAGTCTAGCCTGGGCCATCCGTGGCAAGAGCTCGATCTCGACGATATTACGCAAAAATAGGGGACTGTAACCAGTCTATTTTAAAAACAGTTCTTTTTATGTAGTTTACGAATAAGAGTACGACGACTTAGGAACTTTTTCCCGCCAAACTAACGCTGGTTCACGCGCGCACACTACTTAGTATAATAGAGAAAGTATCTTTCTTGTAGTCGTCCTCATCTAACTTAGAATCTACAGGTCTCTATTTGCTTTCAACAGCCTAGCGAACAATTCACTACAGGGCATTTATCCCATATTCAATCAACCCCTCCAGTTGGATTTAAATGATGTCGCCTGATTTCAACCAAGCCCGGTTTAGCCTTCGTCGGGGGAACAATGTGGGCAAAGGAAAACTGCAAGAGAATTTAAAAGCATGTTATAACGCACCGTAAATATCGGTTTAACAGAACTGTAACTGTAGCTCAGAGAAATCAGAGGCGTAGCTACCTGTACGCACGGTACGCACCTGCGTACCTGAAAAAGTCGACACTAAAAAATAATAATAAAATGAAATAAAAATGCCAATTATCTGAAAAAAGTAAATAAATTTAAAAAGCACAACATTAGTCAATTTATCTAACTCTATTTGTTTTTCTGAAATATATTTTTTCAAAACAACGAACTTTTTCTTTTAACACCCGAATGTCGGTGAAGAAACGCGCGTAAAAGCGTGTAAATAGCAGCAAGGTAGATGTGTAAAGCATGATTACGTTATTGTAAAGTGAGAGGGGGCTAGAGAAATTTGGAAAATTGTGTGTACCTCTGGAAAAATTCTGGTTACGCCCCTGGAAATGTTTTAGCGTAAACAACACTCCAACAATTGACCTTATCCAAAATGCTGGTTAAGATAACTCAAAATTCAAAATCAAAATGCTGAAATGGCCACGCTTTTCTGCCTTTGACTGCTATGTGCATATGTAGGCCGCGAAGCTCCGTGGCTGGTGGACAGTCGCCTGGGAGCTCACATTCCCTGGGTATTAGATTTGATCAATTTCAGTGATGAAAAGTTAAGCCAGATTACCAACCGCTGTTTGGGAAATAAGCCTGCACTCGTCACCCTCTCTCGGGAAGGACTCGGGGCAGCGGCACAAATCAAGCCTAATGAAAAGTTCTTTTTCCTGCCAAGTAAACACAGGGAGGGAGTGAGTGTACTCACATCGTGCGTAAAATCTATCCAGGTTCCTGTGTTGATGTACATGGCGCCTCCGTTCTTGGTGCTGTCAATTTCATCCTCCTTCCGGGTATGAGTGTGGGCAAGGACGATAACATCCTCTTCACAACGCGACAGGAAATCATTAAATCTGCCCAAGGAGCCTTTGAGCAAGCTAAAGGCCTTACTGGAACCAAACTGTTAAATGACAAAATAAACAAAAAAATAAAACAAACAAGACGCCTTGGGAGCGTATATTTGAGCACCGACATACTAGGCGTGTGTGAACTTTTTGTGTATTAGGGATGTGTGAGTAGTGCAGTAGCGTTGTACATTTTAAGGATTTGAAGTGGAAGGCGTGGAGTTATATTGGACGTGGATTGGTAAGATAATGGTTGTAGTTTGTTAATCAGTGAAACTGGTTTCTCGTAGAATTTAATAGCGGGGCTCCCATGTACGCGCGAGAAGTGCGCGTGGGACAGAGCCCCATACCCATAGAATATGGTGAACCTCTTTTCATTTGGTTGTCACGTGATTGACCGACGCGTACGCGTCTACAGATTGTATGGGTGGGTTAGGGGAGACTATCAAAAGGGAGGAAGGGGTGTCTCAGGTGTGTCTTGGCAAGTCCACATTTTGTATATTGGACATTCACAAAATGGTCAATTGACAGCTGTCAAAACAGGATAGCCACTGACCAGTATCACATGACCATATCGCGGGCTCATGTCTCAACTCATCGAGGTGACGTGATTTATTTGGAAGCTGTCCGCTGACCACTTAATTGTTTTACTAGTTCGCGATCAATGTTCAACTTTCTAGCTAGTTTGAGAGCACAGGAAAGCTGATAATGCACAGATCCATTGGACATCAAAGTTGTGATCCATTGACAGCTGTCAAAACAGGGTATCCGCTGACCAGTATCACTTGACCGTATTGCGGGATCAGGTGTTGCCCCATCGAGGTCAAGTATTTTTTGAAGTTATCCGCTGACAATTTACTAGTTTCTAAATGATCGAGGGCTCAAGTTTCATTTTTTTAATTCATATGAAATAAGTTGTGTTTTTGTGCCGCACAATTAAAATTTTGATTTAAAAATGACCTCGGACGCGAAAATTCAGGCAGGGAAGACAGTTGCTTTTGACTTTGCTCACCATGGTCACGCGTTGGTCACGTTCTACGTCCAATTTTTATGCTCTGATTGGTCAAAATTTGGCAGGTGAGTTCGTGCGGAAAATTTATGCAGCATCTTGAATCTTGTTTACTTCGACAGCTGAAGCTGACAAAGTCTTGCGTCAACTTGTGATATTTTTTAACTGTCTTTTTCTACTGGATGTACAAAATGAAATTCAGCTGCTATCAGGAGTCTTCTGTTACTCATGGCAAGTTTGTTTATTGGGTTTTTGGTTGAGAAATACGTCACTTGTCAAAGTCGGAAATCCGATTTCGGATGGCATCGTTTTCGTTTTGCACCTTGCTTGATGCGTAAGAGGATTGCAAGGTCTGAGGCGAGTAATTATTGTATTTGATGTTTGTTTTTTATATCTAATTTAATGAAGTCGAGCGTAGTTTATGGGGGTATTTAGTTTATGCACGTTTGTAAGATTTGAGGCAATGATCTGACCGAGTAGCAGGTTTGACATAAGCTTACAGAACTTTAAAAAGCCTTTAGACATTTTCTCACCGCAAACAGAAAGATAACGTTCCAAAGAATATTTGGTTATAATTCTGGCGGTAAAAGAAAGCTTTGAGTGATTCTCTTGCCTCGAGTTCATCTTTGAAAAACAGCAAACACCGGGAAGCCGGCTTAAAACTTAAACTTAAGCTTTAAGCTTGAAGACTCAGGATTTTTAAAGACACTTTAATACTTGTCTTGAAAGTTGTTGTCTCTGTGTATGTTTCACCGAATTATATTTCTTTTATTGATTGTTAGTAGTCTCTTTTGTAATTTTAATCGCTGTGCCGTTTGTTTTCAGTCGTTCAGTGAACATTGCATGCAGGAGTACTCAAAATGCCGCGCGTCAAACCATTAAATAAATAATAAACATAATAAATTCTTTATTTATGTTGGAGCTTAACTCTATTAATGTTCATTCAAACACTCGCCACAGCTCGCACTGCAAAAGTGAGAACCGGCTGGCCGTATAGGTGATTTTGGAAAATTTTTTTAACGAGTTAGCTAAAAGCCCATGCGTGCTTCGATCGTCCTGAATATTGAATGAGTGCAATTTGTATTGCAAAATTGTGAAATACTGCTTTCTGTCCGAGGTCTGTATGATAAAAACTGTGCCTCATAGTACTGTTTCACCTCAGATGTAATTTATAAATGGTATAAAGTTGGTTTACACGCACCCAGATTTGTTGGCAAGATTTTGTAAAGTAAACTTGTCGAACGCATTGGTGTACATATGAGGCTATCAACTCGATGTAAGATTTGGTTCACTCTTGGGTTGTTTGCAAATTATTTTTCTGTAAACTCACTTAGCCTTTCCCTCAAAAGTCACATGAATGTGCTCTAAAGTTAACTGAATTGTGGAATACAAGTTTATTGTTTGATTTAAATTATAAATTTATTAATGGGAGCCTCGCTTTTAGCCCTGGCTAAATCTATATATTATGAAGTAACAAAAAAAAATTTGGAAGGTAAAAGTGATTTTAGGTGTTGCAGTGAGAAGCTTTGAAAACTCGGTGAGGTCAAGCTAAAAAAGGGGGAGGGCGTAAAATCTTGCTATAGAACCAAGGGCCTGATTACATGAGCCGGGCTGGCTCGCTTTGCAGAGAGATCTCGGCACCTTAGTTAAACGAAACAAAAATCAACTTTGTAGTTGGATATAAATTGCAACCCAAACTATATGGAACGGTATATGGCTTTTATGCTGGGTAAACATCTGGTGTTTTTTGACAGTTTCCAATTAATGGCTAGTAGTTTGGACAGACTGGCAGCTAACTTACCTAAGGACAAATTTAAATATACTAGCCAAGTGTTTCATAATGAGGAATTAACATTGATGCAGAAGAAAGATGTATATCCATATGATTTTATGGACAGTTTTTCTAAGTTTAATCACCCACCATTACCAACTAAAGATGAGTTTTTTAGTATGTTAACAAATGAGGGAATCTCTGATGAGCAGTATAATCACGCGCAACAAGTCTGGAATAAATTTGTCTTTTATCCAGAAACTGAGTATGACAATGAGAGTAAAGTGCGGATTTTTAATGATCTGATGGCATGTGCTGTGAGAAAGAATGATGACAACACTGGCACACAATTGAATCTTGCTAATTATAAAAGTCTGTTCCCATTGATTTATTTTGATCTGACTTATCAGACAGGAAAAGTAACAAGAGATCCCAAGCAATTAATATTTAGATACAGATTATCAGCCAATGCAAATCAAAATTTCGCTGTTCATGATGTTGTTATGAAGAGATCCTGAAGATTGATAAGATTGGTAATGAACTTGTAATTGTGTAATACAATAGTATCTACTATATATCATATTAAAGGTATGACGCAACTCTATGAGATAAAAGTAAAACTATCAGAAAAACAACAAAGGAATCTTTCTCGGGCTTTTCATCAGAGAGAGACGATTGTTCTTAGACTAGCAAGCAACGCACTTTCCAGTAGTGATACACTATATGTTCCGTCAAATGTTGTGAAGACATTGAACAAGAACCGGAGACTTAATAAAGGCATGGATATTAAACTAGCCAAGACTAATATCAGAAAACAAGTCGGAGGTAGCCTATTAACCAACATCTTATCAATAGGCTGAGTGAGGGCATTAGCACCAACAATTGGTAAAACACTTGGATTGGCCGCTCTTGGTGGATTGGCATCAAAGGGCGCTAGTCAATTGGTGAAAAAGATATCTGGGGGTAATATACTGAGGGATGTTATTGACAAAGAAATGGCTTTAGCATCAGCATTAAAAAGGATGACCGGAGGCCAAGTAGGAGGCTTTTTCATACCCGGGAATAAAATCAATCAGTTGATTGCGTACAAAAAACCTTCTAACCAATAACCAGAAAAGATTTATTCTCAATGCTCTCCAAACTGGCTGAGGTGTTCGTATACAACCAACAAGAACACAGATGGGCGGAGTCCTTGGAACCATCCTTGCAACAACTGGTATTCCTCTGGCTGTGGAGCTGGTAAAGAAAAAAACTGGTGGGAGTGCACCGAGGTCTGGGAGAAGTACTAATGGAAAACAAGATGGCCATGGAGCCCCTCGATTGGGTATGTACCAACCACCTCCCCCTTTTATTGGAACACAGGAACGATGCGTGGCGGTGGTTAAAAAAAAGAACTGGTCAAGGCCTGCTATTAGGAGCCAATTCACCGTTCAAAACATACCTATCTTAGGCGCCATACTGTAAAACCCAAATTCCATAAGAATATCCCAATGAGTAATCATGATCTTCTGGAATGGCGCAGATATTTGAATATACCAATAAAAAGTGTATTAGCAAGAGACAAATCTATTCGGCATAATCACCAGCAATCCCTCTTTATTTATAACCTAGAGCCATCTCATATGAGTGGATCTCGTTGGGTTGCCACCTAAGTGAAAGAGGGTATTATCAATTATTTTGACAGTTTTGGGATGCCTTCTTTTCAGAAAATTGTTAATCATGCTAGAAGTAAGAATCTCACACTCCTACACCAGGACCAGCAATTGCAAAATATAATGACAACAACATGTGGGTATTTTTGTTTGTACTTTCTAAATGAGATGAGCAAGGGTACAAGTTATCATGATCTTCTAAGGGTATTTGATATACATGACACAATGAAGAATGAGCGGTTCATAGAAAAGTATTTCAAAATAATGTCATCTATATATATATATATATATGAAAAAATTCTGTTGTTTTATATTGTTCAGGAGTTACTCCACAGACTCTCCACATTATGTAAATCAGTATGGATGCCTGGAATGCTGTAACCGTGAGCCCATAAGTGAGAGTGATTATGAGTCGGATATCAGCTCTGAAGATAATCCAACTTATGTGACTGAGAGTGATTAAAAAATATTTGTTACCCCTGATTAGACAGACATGTATCAGAAAACTACCCCGTCAAAACGACAGGTCAGGTCCCAGACCATTTTTATAAAACATATAATATATAGAAAAGGTGAAATCTTAATGTGTTAAACAGAAAAAACAGACAGAATGCGTGCCAGATAGTGAAACCAGTGTTAGAGCAAAGAATGGCCGATTAATGATGAAATGTAAATGCGCCGAATGCGGAATCACTAAAACCAAATTTGTGAAGGGAAACTAATTGGGTCCTCTCGGGCAGGGGGCGATTTATTTGACTCTGCTGTAGGAACCGCAACAAATTTATTTGTAGAACATGCTCTTCTATGGATGGGGAAAAAAGCTGTTGAAATGGGAAGATATTATGGTTCCGTGGCTCTGAGAAACAAAACATTACAGAAGAAGTCTATAAATTATGGACTAAAGAAGCTCACTCCGATGACTCAGAATGTTGGTTCTCGAACTCTTGACCAATTATCAAGAGAGATTAGACCAAAAAAATAATAAAACAAACAGGAAAGATGTTTGATGGAGGTGCTTTGGATATCATTTCACAAATTAATCGGTAAATTACCAAAACCAAAAGCAGGATGGACACCTGGCAATTACAACTATATGGGGCCGTATATATAACCCCCTTGATAAGCAGTTAAAATTTGATCCCAATACTGTTGAGGTATTAGAATGGTATGTTCAGTGGGCAGCTATTTCATCCACTTTATTGTACAAGCATGATATATGCTATGATACGGGAAAAAACAAAGGTGATTGTGACAAAGCCTTGGTAAAATCACTGGATATGATTCCTTATGGAGAAATGCCTAAATGGGGTAAAACAGCAAGATTCCTAATGATAAAAAGCAGAAACTCGGACTTGGTTTACACTAAAAAAGCCGCCGAGTAAGGAAATAAGTTGGCAACAGCAATTAGCAGATGAATTACATAAACCAATAAAGCGCAGCTTTACTCGGCGGCGTATTATTACAAACGGTATCGACAAAATTTGGTGCTCTGATCTTGTTGAAATGCAACAATTCAGCAAATGGAACAAAGGTTACAAATATCTTGTCATGGTGTTAGATCTATTCTCCAAATATGGCTGGATTATTCCGTTGAAGGATAAAAAAGGAGTGGACTGATAAAGGGAAGGAGTATTATAACAAACACATGAAGGAACTGTTGGAAAAGAATGGCATAACACTATACTCAAACGAAAATGAGGAAAAATCTAGTGTTTGTGAAAGATGGAATAGAACAATTAAAACCTAGATGTGGAAGCAGTTTACTGTCCAAGGCAATACCCAATATCTCAGTATACTACCAAAAATACTGGAGGGGTATAATAACACTAAGCACAGTTCAATTAAAATGACACCTGTAGAAGCCAGTATAAAGAAGAATGAAAGTACCGTATATTTTAACCTATATGGTGATATGGAGCAATTGTCATCCAAGCCCAAAGTCAAGGTTAGCAATAAAGTCAGGATAAGTAAGTATGAGAGAAAAATATTTGACAAAGGCTACACACCTAATTGGACTGAAAAGATATTCTTGATTAATAAAATCCAATCCACAAATCCAATTACCTACAGGTTATAGGATCTCAACAACGAGGAGATACAGGGGAGCTTTTATGAACCAGAATTACTGAAGGCAAAACAGGATGTATTCCGCAATGATAAAGTCATTCGGAGGCTTTATAAGAAGAAACAAGCTCTTGTGAAATGGTTGGGTTATAGTGACGACTTCAATTCCTGGGTTCCACTGAGTAGTTTACAAGATTTATCTAAGTAATAGTATAAATGGACGATCATATAAGAAAGCTAAATACCAGAATCCATAATAAGGAAGCTGAACTCAACGCACTATACACTACACTCCATAAATTGGAAGAAGAGATTGCCACATTACACCACAAAAAATTAATTTCCAAAAAGCTGGAAACAGCAGAAATGTCATTAACCGGCGTCCTAGAAGTGAGATCTTTGAAGTGGTGGAGGAGGAGAAAGGTAAGAACTAGGGGGGATTTAAAGAAATTATGTAATGTATATAACTTTATATATAATGGTGTATGTTGGAGAAATCGTTCCATAATGCAGACTTGGATATAGATCTAACTTCAACAAAATGTATGGTTCAAGGGTAAGGATGTTGCCCTAATCCTTGGATATAGTGACACTGATCAGGCTTTAAGAAAAAATTTATCAGATGAAAACAAAATAAAACACCTCTCTAGGCAACAGCGTGAAACACACGGTTGGTTTGAGGGTAAAAAACAGTGCTCAGGGCAACCCGTCGCGCAGACGGGTTTGTCTAAAACAGCTTTTATCAATGAACCTGACTTTCATGAACGTAGTTTTTGGATCAAAATTGGAGACCGCAAAAAAGTTCCGTAATTGGGTATTCACACAAGTGCTTCCATCCATCAGAAAATATGGGCAGTACAAACTATTTGACAATCCCAATAACAAAATGTTCAAGATTGAAAATGAGACAGATCTACATTGCAAAGTTGTACACCTAATCAGAAACTATTATCCAAAAGCCCTTACTGTAACAGGACTTGGAGAAAGCCAAGATACTCCATCCAAAAGAATTAATAGTTGGAAGAAGGGTTATACCAAAGGTCAGCCTGATCTGATGGTGCTTAAATACCACGAAGATTATAACAGCTTATGTATTGACAGGGGCACCCAACGTCAATTTTCGGAAAATATCTGTTCGGAAGCCGGAGAGGTAGGCAAGCAAGAAATTTTACAAAAAATGTTCCGAAAATTCTAGATCTCAAATCGGCGATTTGAGATCTAGAATTTTCGGAACATTTTTTGTAAAATTTCTTGCTTGCCTACCTCTCCTAGGATTTTCGAACACCTAAAAATTGGTGTAATTGCCCATCTTTAACGGATTTTTACCCTAAAAAGCTCACCTAGAATTTTCGGGAGCCTTTTTTCTGGCTGAAATTTTCGAAACGGTAAGTTTTGATCCCTATGATTTTCGGATCTCGAGACTTTCAGCTAGGAAATCCGAACAGATGAAAAAATTTTAGGGGATAAAAATATGCCTATATCTACCGTTTAAATACTAAAATACGTTTAACAATGCTATGTTTAAGTGGTTTTGAACTATATTCTCGTTGGGTGCCCCTGTATTGAATTTAAATCTCCGACCAATAATTACCAAATTTCAGATGCTCAAAGAGAGATGAAAAAAAGGTACAAGGAAAATTGCTACCAATTCATCCTAAGTAATGACTATGATCACATCTGTAAAGAAGTACATAATTACATGGCTGGTATTCGTGTGCCGTGTAAATACTGTGACAAAGCGTTCCTAAATAAAGAAACACGAAAAACCCATTATCAGGTCATTCATAGAATAACCAGATAAATCCACATTTGTGGAACCGTTTTAATTTGCACTTTGTATTAAGATCTAATTTCAGATCCGAAGATGAAAATTTATTTTAGCTCCTTATCAAGTTCTTTTAAAATATCCTCCAACGCGAGCAAATCATTTTTATAATTTATCAAATCCCTCAGTATACTAGGATTTACTCTGTACAATAACTCTGAAATTAGTTTGGACATTTCTTCCGCTTTTTTGGTCGTTGATGAGTTAATTGTTATTTTAACCATATATAATTAGTATATATAAAAAATTTCATTTGTACGTTAATATTGCTGAAAATGGTAGTTTTCAATATAAAAATTAATTATATCCAACATTAATCTATCATATTTATTCTTTTTTGGATTGAACAATATACCATTATCTGGAATTAAAATATGCTTAAGTGCTTGTATTATAATCAATCCCAAAGTAAAATTATCATATTTTTTGTCTAATTTATAGCTTGATTTAAAAACTTTTTCACAAATTTCTTAATAAATCTCGTATTTATTTCCATAACTATAATATTACTATATATAATTTTTTCCAAAGTCATAATGAAAGAACGCACGTAAAAATTAAAATTTAATTCCCAAAGTCAAGGTCAAACCGCCCAAAACTGGTTCAAACCGGATTCCTAGAGTCAAAGTCAAATATTTGGAACTGTCCTCGTAACCCCACACTGCAAATAGCCCCTCTCCAGCCAAAAAAACCGTTCAAATGCCAACAAAAAGAGCCAGTGTGCTAATCCAATGAGTGCTGCAAATGTTGTCAATATGTGTCAAATGCTAACGTAAAAACTTAAATTCCAGAAAAATCCCAAGGTCGCACGCCAAAATACCGAGGCCAAGGTCAAATATTTGAAACTGTCTTCGTAACCCCATATTCCATACTACCAGGGGGGGCTGGCAACGGCCTTTGATCTTGCCGCTTTTCGGCTTTCCATGATCGCCCCAGTTAAGAAATCTGTCAATCATTCGAGAACTGTAGCGAGCATGCGCGAGACTCGCTGGGAACAACAACAAGAAGTTCGTCTTCGCAGCGGTTCGACAGCGTGAAGTGAATTCGCTTTTGGTCCTGCTGGTCATTGCTTTCTTTGCTTTAACCAATTTTTTCCGCGGTGATGTGGAGCTTACGTTTTCCTTTCTTCTGGTCTTGCGTTTCTCATTACATGCCGTTTAGTACGCTAAGAACGAGACCAGTGAACAGTCACTGTTCCTCGATGCCCAATCTTTTGCAGACTCGCTTCACCTCTCTAGATGCACGCTTTTGACCTGTGGTTGTATTTAGAAGACTCACAAGACTAACAGAAGGGCCAACCCTCCAATACGTATGTAGAAGAGTTTATATTTTCAAGTGAAAGGCCCAAAATTAAGTCTTCGTGATATTAAAAAAGTGCGGTGGCTGTGGTTGAGTAGAAGAGTTGTCAGAGTTGTTTACGGTTCTACTACACCTTTAAGACGACAAGAATTGATGATTGAGATTCTTAATTCTTCATTCTTGATTGTGAACTTATCCTGGCAGAGTTGCGTTGGATGATTGAGTGACATGGTCAAATCTCGTAGTTCATGTATTTCTTTATGTACTAGAAGCTAAATAAATTTTGCTAAGAGATCATTCTCTCTTGATTTTGCACATGTTGATATGCTTAAGGTCTTATCTTCGTGATTTAATTTAAACTTCACCTTTAATTTCTAACAAATGAAGCTTAGGCAAATGAAAGGGTAATTATTTTGTGTNAAAAAATGTAAAATGATTATTAAGATAATATTAATAATTTTAGTTAACAACAACAGATACTTGTGTTGAGGCAGGCAAAAACATTTTTCAGAGACCATAAACCTTCAATGACTTTGCTATTACAACAAGTGGTGAAAAGGTATTAAAATGTGAGATCACCTACCTGGGCTTATACTGTAAGAGAGTATGGGTTGTAGGACACATTGTTCATTTCCCTACCCTTTTTAACCTAAGAGACCTTATTTTATAATCCTGATTCGTTTCATTTAGCATACAGAATTAAGTTAGCTTTGAAACTAAGAAACATGGAAAAAACTTAGGGAAAAAAATGGTGGCACCAAAAATGTAACTATAGACTGCTCTTCATCAACCTTCACAACCCAAAGAGACACTCTGTTCAAAACTCTAAAGGGTGAAATGGTCACCAATCTTAATCAGGAGCACATTAGTACCCATCTAGGCCAAATATGCCAAGAGTGATGCCAAGAGTAGTTTCATAGAAAGAACTGCTAAGGGGATTGGGCTCAAGGACAATAACTCCTTTTGATGGTTGATAAAAAATAAATTTTAATTTACCTTGTTTAATTTAGTTGTAAATCAGATTCATAACTTACACAAACAATTATTGAAGTTGTACATTTTCCAAGCTCATTCTGATTCTCTTTATAAAATTTGCAAAACATTCAATTTCCTTTTTTCTGTTTCTTGTACTTCAGTCCTTTGAGGGATTTTCTCAACGCACACCTCTCTCTGATGTACTCACTCTTATTAGCAACTGAATTAGCCTCTTGCCCTTGCACTAAACCATTATCATCATTTCAAGTATAATTCAGAACTATAGTGTCATTTTTGTACAAAAAAATTCAAGGAAATACTTGAAACCGAAGTCACTATCTAATATAAAACTATTAAATACAGTATTGCTGTTGGAAATTTAATAATTATCCCTCCAATGATGTTCCATGCAGTGAAGGTTTGAAGGTTTAGTAAACCTCTCCCAGCCTTCTGATATGAAAAATGGATTAAACTGACAGACCCAGTACATGTGAAGCAAAGTGACTGGAACATTTACCCCGGCTTTTATTAAATTGGCCCTGTATTCTGTATTTACGCCTATAAATATTTGTTGCGGTTTTCGGTTATCCGTGGTACAAACAAACTTATACGAACAGCGAAGTAGAAAATTGGTTTAATGAACATTCACATATGACTATTGCAAAACTCATACTAATATAGTGTGCTCGTAGCATTTGTTTAGGATAAGGAAGAGAGTCTTAATACCTCTGTAAGTGGAAAAACATAAGAGATGGAGAAGGCTGGTCGCTCGAAAATTCACGAAGCTTATAAATAACTGAACTTGCCAAGATGCCTAATCACGATAAGTGAAGTCACCCATGAGCTGTTCAAACATCACGCCTCCTGATGTCCAAAAATTCCATTAAAGAAGTTCATGAAAACCTTTTCTTGATGTTTGGGCGTGGGAAAACCTAAAACCGAGCAAAAACTCATCGTCCTTCCACAGGTCTGCATTCTTCGCCATATTTGTTTTGAAGGAAAATTTGTACTCAGTCTCACTCGGCCAAATTTCTTAACTGGGGCGATCATGTAAACTCGGTTCCAGACCTCGCTGCCAGCCCCCCCTGCATACTACTTTTAAACTCTAATTAATAATTCATATTGAAAAGCAAAGAAATACGCTTATTTAAAATCTGAAATAAAACGCAGCTGAGGATTTTCGTAGGAATAAAACATATCAAAAGATTACTTGAAAAATGAATAGATCTAGAGGAAATTTATTGAAGACGTTTTAAAATTTCGCAATAGATCTTTGTTTTATAGATCGTTTTCACTGTCACGCAACAAAAAAGATAAATTGGTAACCGACCATTCGAAGAAGCCAAGAAACTGAAATGTTATAAAAGACTAATATATAAACAATTTGTCCAAGTCTCAAGTCTTTGTGGCTCACAGTTTCTGAGTTATTTGCCCAAACGTTTCACGCACCTTTGTAGAGCTTTGTATGAAGACCCCATGTTAATGTACAGTTTTGGTGCACAAATATGGCCGCCGGAAATCAACAAAAACATCTGAAGTTCACTTTCTCTATAAAAGCTCTTTCTTTTCATTCAAGAACTAGCATACGTACGCTTAAACATATCTTCTAATACGTGAAATGGTTATACTGCTGAAAATCAAGAGGAGATACTTTTTTTCAACGAGACAACATTCCTATTTTGGTGTCACACACTGCGAAAACTCGGAAGCTCAAATTGCTGTATTTTCGAAATGAAACATGCTACGGGAATGGAAACTTGTACAAAGATTTACTTTTTGTTTATCTTCAGCCTAGTGTAAATAAGAATTCGTAAAACCTCGTTATTTAGACTTTACAGTTTGATGACGTCACTGTGAAAACCATCTATAAACTGTTTCTGTCCACAATCTCTCCGTCATAACTGATTTTTTTAAGTCCAATTTAAAGTGCTTGGTCTTCATCGAGAACTTACAAAGGCTTCGGTACTTTATCCTTGTCGTCATACAAGGGTGACCTTCCCGAGAGTTTGCCAGGACAAAACAAAATGGCCGTTATAAAATGGTGGTCGCTAATTCTCAGGGAGATTAAGCAAAGACGTTTTTGAGCGACGCACGTCAGCCGGAAGTGAGGCCTTCTCCCTTTTTATCTGCCTTGACGCTAACAAATTTGTATTGCTGAGTTTCTTTTCTCTTATAAAGACGATTTACCCGAGAGTTTCAACCAAACCGCTCCCCAATGATGCAAACGTCCAGTTCCGGTTGACGCTCGTCGCTCAAAAACGCTGCTGCTTAAGTTCTCTATTACGTTATCAACATCTTACCTAGTATCTACGCCTCATTATTACGCGCGGCCAATGCGTTTCGGGTCACGTGGGCTGGATACGTCCCCAAAAAGTGAATTGACCGAGAAGGCCTGGGAAGATGCCGTAAAGGGGATAAACAAATCAACACCAACAGCAGACGAATCAAAAGTAGGCTAAAAAGGTGCGCTATATATGGTAAAAAGTATGTTACCTTGGTAACGGCACGCTTGAAGTAAGGATATTCAAACACATGCTTCATCTTAATAGCCTTTCCGTCATCTAGATGAATGTAGGCATCTTCTGAAATAGGTTGGCCCAAAGCTCTTTCAATGAGCGACTTTGTAAACTTCTTCTGTGCAAAGGAACAGGCCAAAATTTCCATGACAAAAGATTGCGTGATGTGACAACGGATGCTACTAAGTAACTCTTCTGTGATGTCCATAATGATCTGGCAATTGAAAATGAAATAAAAATACTGAAATTTTTATATTGCGAAAAGCAAACTATAAAACAAAAACACGCATAAAAATATTGTGGATGAACAACATCAGGAGCCCTCCTGATATTTACAATTCAGATGGGACGTAAATAGAAAATACTTTACTTAACAAGAGAAGAGAAATAATATTCCAGAGCCTGTTCAGACTGATTTCTCAATTACTAGAGGAGATTTTCCGGATTCACAAGAGTTTCCCGATTTATTCCATTTTGGGGACGAGGTGTAAAAAATGAAAAACAGACACGGAAAACTGGAAAACAGGTTTATACACAGGACTAAAATGAAATTCAACATGTTTTGTAATTTGCACTAAATTGGCAATCAACTCAAGTCAGTAAACAGCTATTATGAAGGAAACAATTTTAAACCGTGTTTAACTAAACAACATTTATTATTCATTCAAAATATTTCCGCGATACTGATTGGCTAAAAGCCAGGCATAATTCACCATAACCAGTTACTGATGACCAAATTTGGAAGATTTTTGTGTTTAGCGAGGAAATGACGTCAAAAGTGCAGCGTTCTTGTAGGTTAATGCACCGTTAACCGAGAAGACCTGGAGACGAGGCTGAGTTGTTTTGGTTGTGAAAACAAAAAATGGCGGACACATTTCACTCGTTTCAAGAGTAAGAACTACTGCTGGAACTAGGCGAAATTATAGCTAAAACCATAGCAAAAACAGCAAGAACACAACTCGAAGGGGAACATCTGCTATTTGGAGAACATTTGCGGAGCTGAAAAACCCTAAACATGCACTATCGAAGGTGAACTTAACATCGATGGAGGTAAGCATGTTTTAGCTTTGTTTTTAAACTAGGAATTATTTTGAATGAATGATAAAACAATTATTGAAGGGTGTTATCCGCCACGGCCTACGGCCTCGACGGATAACACCCTCGTCGATCTCCATAATTCTTCACAAGAAGATACTCAGCCTCATTCATTAATTGTTGATTAAACATGTTTTTTAAGAACATGTTTAAAAGCTGTTATAGCCTGAATTTCATCCGATTACTTCGAGTCGTTATTACTCCCTCAGTAACGTCTGAATCGACCGGCCGTTAATGCCGTCCAGTGACGTCACTCACTACCCGAAAACCGGGTAGTGATTTTGATTGGTTGATTGTCTGAACATTCGCATAATTATTTATAATTATGAAACATTTTAGTGGGATTGTCGTTTGATATTCAGCGGATCGCATCCCTGGCATTCTTTCGTGTAGTTCAAACATTTCGATAAGCTCAACCTTTATCGTAAACAGCAAAATTGCCCTTGTCTTCGAAACTGAAATGCTAAATTGAACTGCGGTTTTTCATTTAGAGCCGCGTTGTGGTTTCGGCGGCCGGTGATTTTGTTTACGCGAAGTTTTCAGAGATCAATGTTATAATTCGACCTTCTTGCTATTTTCACCGTCAAGTGTAATGATTCTGTTAGCTTTTCTTTCTTGTTTCCTTGTTTTTTTCTTCGTAAAGGACCAAATAGCTTCTTTTCAATTAAAGCAAATCATTGTGTTTTTGATCTAAGTTTTCGGTGTGTGTGTTTATTTCATTGCGTGATTGGGACCGAGTTTGATTATAGAATTCAATACAACCGGTTCAGAATTGTACTGCATGCAGTTGATAGTTTGAACGTTAAACATGAATTACGCTCGAAAAAAGTTAAGCAATTCTGTATCATGCAGACATTTCCAAAACGATGTTTCTCGGTTTGCCAATTGAAAATCGCGTTTTACTTTTTGCATGAATTAAGGCAAAGGTCAAGGAGTAGTGACGTCACTGGACGGCATTAACGGCAGTAAAAACGACTCGAAGCAATCGGATGAAATTCAGGCTAAAGTTGTTGGTGTGAACGAGATCCAAGATCTCCGGTCACACGACCAAACTGGTACGGTTTTTTTTTCTTTTTCTTATTGGGGTTAACCCATGTGCGTGCAAACGGCAAAACGAATACGGTACCAAATTATTCTTGATCCGGAAAAATCTTCTCTAGTTTAAACCTACCCACAGAAGTAGGATAGAAAAGCAGTGCAGCCATGCTGTTCAAAAACGCGTGCCAAAAACCCGCGGGGGCTGGGGAGAGAGAGGGCAACCGCCCCCTTCGCCAGATCGCGAGCGTCTGATTTTCACTTGGATTGTTTTTTTTTTTTTGCGATATCCCTAGTCTCTACAATCTGAGAGCTTGGCACAGGCTACCACAGAAAAATGTCCAAAGCCAGATAGAGCGGGGACTCACGGATTCATTAATACAGGTTTTTACTGCAGAAGGGAGCTAATCGGTACTAGTAATGGCAAACAAGACGCTAAGTAGCAGTAAAATACTACTTAAAAACTAAAACGTACAACATACTTTTTCTGTTTCACTCTCGCGTTTTTCCGCTGTAGCCACCGCCCTTGAAACGTAATACCCGATCGGTCTACCACCCAACGGGTCATCTGGCTGAGAAAGGGAGTACGTGTTAAAAATATCCCAGTCATGACCATGCGCAAAGCGGATTCTGTACGTCTGTCCATCGTCGCTTTTGATGACATAAATGAGGGACCCCTTTATGAATTCCACTCCGTCTCCCATCAGTGTTTTAACCGTCATGGCGTCCACCTCGTGGTCATGATTTCCTCGTAGGTAGAACACTTTGACTCCATCTTCTTGAGTCATTTTACGAACGCTTTGGAAAAGAAGGTGGCAGGTTTCGTTGGATTGCCAATCTTTGATCCGTTCCCCGATTGTCTTGGGTTTTACATCAACTCTATCCAACCACATCTCCAGAATGTCTCCAAGTAGTATTAATGTATGAAGACTTCTCTGTGAAAACAAACGATGATTTTGATTTGAAAAATTATGCAGGTCGCAGAGAATATATGCACGATAGCCTCTTAGATCTGCAAATTCTCCATATCATACGAAAGTTGAATTCAATCAATAATTCTTGTATCATTTATTCAAAATATTTGTTAAGTTCTCAACAACCTTACCACCTAGCAGACTTTCTTCAAAACATTGCCTGTTTCTTGGCACCGTTTCAGGATATAAAGTGAGATGGCGCTTTTTCTTGCAGATACTCTTCAAAAAGTAGATGACATCCATCAAGCAATCTTTTTTTGCGTATTCTTGCATTTCTTCCTTTCAGTTTTAGTCAGTAATGCGGTTATTTCCTGCTTTAGTTCACTCATGCATATAGCTAGGCTGCCACACCGCTGTCTGGAAAGTAGCCTCAAAAAACAGCCGACGTCACCACTGCTTTCTCCTCGAAATGACGTCTGAGAAACGAGCGCGTAAATTCCATACTTATGACGCGTCACTACCCAGATCTAGGATTGGCAAAAATTTGCTTCAACCAATCGGAGCACTACCCAGATCTGGGTGGTGATGCGTGATCAGTATGGTTAGCATTAGGTAACATCGGCTGAGGTCAGATTGTTTCTGTCAGTAAAATTACATGAAGAACAACTCAAGTCCAACTTTACTGTGTAATATAAAATAAAATAGAAAAAATCCACTGTAATGCTTTGAACCCCGGTCACTTGCTTTATAGCCTACATCCATATCCACTACACCATGGAGGACTAGCTGCCAAATCCAATCATTTTTAAAATATACATTTTCTTATATATGCCGTACCCCATTACAAAATTTGAAAGCCAACCGTTTTCAGTTCAGTGCTTAACCCTAATCACTGCATATCAGTGCTTAACTCTCTACTGTGTTCTCTCCATAACTGGGGCGCTGTAGCTTTGGTTTGCTCAGCTATTCTAGCCTCATTCTACATTCCAGTCTCATTCCATTATGGTAATAGTGCGTTGTGTAAAATTCATAAGGTGTCCAATCTGGCTTCACTCGATGTTATCTAACGCTAACCGATCAATATACGCAATTTTTGAGCTCGTTTCTCAGACGTCATTGCTAGGGGAGACCTGAAGTGCTGGCGTCGCAAAATTTCGGCTGTTTTCTCAAGCTACCTGGAAAGGAATTGCAATATATCGATTATACATTTTCAAATACGGTAAGAGCCGGCTAGTTATGAACAATACTTAAACCGTGTGTTTGGTGCCAATCAAAAACGGCGAAACATTTTGAAAGCAGCAATAAAGTCTTTATTTTTTGTTAAATCCGTCTGTAGCCTGCGAAAACAGCCGTATCTCCTCGCTCCTCGCCACTGGGGACGTTTCGTGAGGAGGAAAGTCTGCGACTCAGCCGACAGTAATGCCGTACTGATGACGTAGATCAGTGTCAACATGATAAATCCGGTAGTCCTGGTGTTCCAAATTCCGGCAACTAAAAAAACTTCAACATCTTTCGAGAAATTTGTAACTATTTCCAGTGATTTTGTTACCTCTGTGCGACCTGTGTCGCTGACGCATAAAAATCCCCAAGGACGCAAAATAATTCATGGCAAGCGAATGATCCATCGATTTGAAAATTTTTTGGTAGAATATATTGGTTGTTTGATTTCTGTGGCCGTTGTTGAAAGATGCATTTTTTTGTGCTCTAAACATATAGAAGGACTATATTTAAATTTCAGTATACTGTCATGTAATAAATAGTTTTGGCGTCTGTCTTTAGATTAACTGTTTGGTTACATAAAGGCCCAAGCATGTTCAATTTAGAACTCCATGTTTTTTTTGTTTTGTTTTTTTTTTTTATTTAACTGGAACTCATTGGTTCTGGACAAGGACTCACGGTTTTTCAGAAGATGAGTCCCAGGACTCACCATAACTGTTTGTAACAAAATCATTGTATAGGCCGTTTTCAAAAATACCATAATACTTTTTTGTTGTCCCTCCAAAATTTTGCATAAGCATTGTTTTCAATTTCTCTTGGGACTTACAATCGTCCCAAGAGAAATTGGGAACAATGCTTATGCAAAATTTTAGAGGGACAAAACAGGGTATTATGGTATTTTTGAAAACAGGTCTATTTACTTCAGAAACTCCGGAGAGACTAGGTACAAGCGTTAGGTGTAGTGGTTTAGGGTTGCCTTGAATACCGTTCACCAATCTAAGACTCCTTGTCCACCGAAAGGATTCCAAAAGTCGCTGCGCCGAGAGCTAGTACCCTGAACTAATCATTCAAAAGGCTACGACATCCGCAAGCACAATTTATTGGGCAACAAATTTTAAACAATATTTAGCCGTGCATCAGTCGCCTTATCGGATCCATATAATATGTTGCCTACAGAAAACATCCCTTCCGTCTCCGTGCTATACCTTACCTTTGCAAGCTCTACTAATTCCTTGAGAAAAGTCTGGATTCTGTTGTTTTCATTCTTACTCCAGATGCTATCCAAATGAAGGTCGCTCATGCTAATGATCACATTCCTTTCTGGATGGTTAGGATTGTCCATTTCTCGCACAGTGACCCCTTCTCCATGACTGTCGATAGAGGAGTCGTACCTAACGATAAAACATGAGGAAAAAGAAGATGGTTAATTTCCCGCAACCACCTTCTAAACCAGATATAAAGATATTCGCCCTTCTACATAATTATAAATTGTCTAATATTCTGTAACGATGCACTTATCCACTTATTCACTTTTTCCTTGGCCACAGAAAACAATCCTTAACTGACCATGCTCAGTGTTCGGTTACTTAGCTGGATATTGGCCTCCGAAAGAATAGTTCCCTACTGATTTATTTTTCTTCTTTCTTGTCTCACAATTTTCTTGTCGAAAAAACATTCTTTACACGAGTCCATTTCATACTTACTTGGCTCTGAGTCTTGAGGGAATAAAACAAAAGAAATGTACTATTCACTGCTGGTCCTCAATATGAGTTTTTTTTCTTTTATTCCCCCAAGCCTCAAAGCCAAGTAGGAAATTTAATATATGGAAACTGGTCCTCATTAAGGTGAGAAAGCCACCAAAAAAAGAAAACAACCTATGGAATATCCCTTCCATTATAGATATTCTGTCGCCTTTAAAGCAATCTCCGGTGATTGCGCATTCAGAATATTTTTGCACTTCATATGTATACCTATAAAAAACGCGAAAAAAGAACTTGGCCAATAATATTGAGGCATCTTGACCTCACACTAACGCATACAAATAAAACTGACAAACCTTGGTTCTTTCTTGAGCGGGACATTCACATTCGGCTTTGATAGCCATGTTTGCTTTGACTCCAAAGGAGTCAACTCATTAATCTCATCCCAGATGTTCTTCTCATCCTGCTGCTCCAGAGACGAAGAATCGTCATCATCTGAATCATCTGATGCGTAGTCAGTCATGTCTGATAACTCGGGATCAACATCCGGAAACTTTACTTCGCTTTTAGACAGAAGTTCCAAGTCTGTTTTTTTAGCAGGAGTTGCTTCAGTTGAATCAATGATTCCTAAAAGAAATGACAAGATCACAGACTAGATTACAAGGTAAATTTAATAGAGAAACTTTCGGTAATACAACAGGACAGTAAACACTGGCAAAATGAAAATCATCTTACATGAGATTACTCTGACCCGTGTATTGGGATTTGCAGCCAACAATGTTACGTCCGAGGGGGTATGGGGCTTAACACATAACGTCATGACAATCATACCTGACTTAATTTCCAGAGACTTCAGAGCCCGCAATACTTGGCGACGAGCTGCCTTATCGCGATGCAAATCATCTTGAGCATGCGCATCCAAAGCCTTTAAAATGTGCGGATAAACATCATGCACTGCATCTCTGCCATAAATGCAGTCCAAGTGCCCATAGCCAGGAATCTGAACCCAAGAATACTCTTGATGCGGGTGGGCTTCTTTCACAAGGTTGAATGTAGTGAAGGTGCTGTCAGGAAGATAGCAGCTGTTTTTCTCTCCTAACAATGAAGCATAGAAGTCAGAAATACCACCTATCACGGTGATTCACTTAATCGTTGCCTAGCTTTTGGGTGAATGTGAGGCTAGAGTAGATAAACCTTGTTTAGATCAAACCGTCCTTCCAAATTTTCCAATTTTTCAGAAAATCCTCAAATTTGAGGATCTTACGCCGATTTTGCGCAATTGTTCAGAAGTATGAATGAATAACGAGTAAATCTGTTTGTCTTCTATACCCAGTGAGTATCTTTAGCGATCCCGCATTACGCGGACGCCTCACGTTCTCAAATCGATAGGGCGGCCGTTAAACACAGCTTCCACCGAAGTCAAGAGCATGTAGTATACACAGTGCAAGAATAAATGGCGCCAAAAAAGCGGGGCAATGGATGTCTGATTGATCAAGGATAGCTGAGGAACGAGTTGTACAAATTGACACATACTATCAAACGGAGACTGGGAAGGCCGTGGGCCACCATCCGCATTGCACCCGAGCCACACAATTCTGTACATTTTGCAATAAGCATTTTTTTCTTGTGTTATTTACATTGTTATGATAAATATAAAACAAAATGTCGAACAATGTATCCACTTTGGTCTTCGTTTCCATGAACACATGCCTATTTCGCTTTCCCAATCTCTTTATTATGAAAATACGACGATAAAACTAAAGCCAGTCTCTTCATAGTTGACCTTTAGAGACATTTTTCTCTTACCAACAATAAAGCAGATTGGCATATCTAGTCGATTAATATGCTCCCTGTATTCTGGACTATTCATCCGATCATCCTTGTCCACATCAGGCAAATAGATGTCTTTTCCTGAAGCTGAAACCAGCTTTTTTTCTCTCATCGTCAGAGCCAACTGGGCGCTGCACTCTGCTGTTATGTAGCCAAAGAACTCGTGCAGAGTATCGTGCGTCAGTGGAGTGAGATTTTCATGTTCCCATAGAAGGCCATAAGTAAATGTTATTCTGCTCAATTTCACATGAAACAAGAGGAAAAGGTATTTTCAATTATTAAAGAGATGCGATAAACGAATTCATCGTGCCCAAAGCTACAACCAGTTGTAAAAAAACCCAGCTTCATGTTTTATTAAAAATTGCTGCTAGGCACACATCTATGAGAAATAAAACTCACGTCTCAACTCGTTCCTTCAAGTTTTGAGCGTGGTCTCGTATTGTTAGCAACTTTCTAAAGGGGAGGGGAGGGGATCACAATTACAAGATCATTGATAGGTCATTAAGCCCAAATAAGGCACTGATGTCTCAAGCATTTTACTTTAGCAGCTGGTTGTAGTGACACCACATATATATAATATCTCTTTGATTAATAATATCTCTAAACATATAAACATCGTTTTCCTTTATCCCGTCCGTTATGCTTAAACCTTACTATCTTTCTGGGCTGAGTTGTCCGAAAGACGGAAAACGCTATCCAATGGCTAAATCTTTATCGAGTCGGTAGGACCATTGGTTTCCCTAATACTTCAGCCCGCTGGATAGTGATTTATCCGTTAGATTACGCTATCAAAAGTTTGAACAACCAGGGCCTGGTAGTGAGATTAAACATTACAACGGGAACTTCAAACGGTAATTGGCTTTTAAGGTTGAAAGTACATTTCTACAGGTTTTGCTCCATACCTGTGGCAAACGGGGTTACGACAAAGTTCCTCATATGGCAAAAACAAGTTATCAACGCTCTTGACAAATTTATCAAAAAGCCAGCCAGCCCAGGACGTATGATCATCTGTGTCAACTGTCAATCCCTTTAATCCGACAGCCTCCATTACTCCTGGAATATGAAGCCCAGCTTTCAGCTTATTGAACGAGCAGGGAATGGGATTTGCAGCCACTTGACTCGCCACCAGACTCCTGACCTTTCCCTCAAGCGCTCCAGACAGGAGAGAAGCAAAACACACCAAAGATCCGGCACAGTGCGCCACCACCTGAACGTCTTTCTGCAGGGAGATATACAAACATCGTCCCAATTCGTTCACCAGGCTTTAAGGGGCTACGCCATGAGGATATTGCTGTTTTAAGTCAATTCTGTGTTGAAGTTATTATTTATTTCCTTTACCCATAACCAAAATCCTCTTGTAGATTTATGAAGAAGATATCAAACAGATTTCATTAGGAAGCACCTTCCATAGTAGGAGTATTTAAAGTTCATCATCACGTTTATATCATCGCGCATATAGGCCCAATCCAAAAATGGCTGCTGGGTTAATATTCTTTTGTTTAAATTAAGATTAACCTGAATAGACTCATTCTTCAGTACAAAATTGAAAATAATACATTATCTCAAGCGAGGATAGTCGGGCTAATTTTAGTTTAAACAAAAGAATATCAATCCAGCAGACGTTTTGCATTGGCTCCATTCAGTCAATAAAACTTAAGCTTCAAACTTTTTTGAGTTTCAAAACGCCTTTGTTCAAATTGCTCCTTAAGTACACATGCGAAAACTTTTGCACCCTGAGATCACGTAATTTGTCAAAACTGACGAAAACAGAACAAATTTATACTGCCAAGTTTTGGGCATTTTCCTCAGTTCACCCTCGCACTTTCTTTTCTTTAAAAGCTCATTGGCTGCATATCGCCTTATGATAAAGATGTCAACATGCCCAGTAAAGAGATAAAGCAGTTCTAAAGAAACTGTGTTGCATGCAACCACCTTTACCATCACTTCTGGTTTATGTACCTGCTTAGTGATTTCTATCACTTTATTGATAGCCGCTGGGTAATCAAAAGCTGCACAGTCGTCCAGTGTGTAGTCCTTGCGGACCATTGATGGAAGATTACACGAAGTGCGCCAATCAACAAGCCAAACATCATACCTAGTGAAGCCATGTAACTGTGCTCAGTCAGTGAACACTGCTTTTAAGGATACTACTTATAAGAAAGGGTTACATGAAGTACCAACCGCTTTCAATTAAGGAAGGAAAGGTATGAGCGAGAGTATCCCCACACAAGAGAGAATAAAAAGGAATCTCATCCAAAAACTTTGGTTCGTCCGATAGCTTAAGACACATTTTCACAGGCAAGACTAAACTCTTTGTTTAACTCGCAACATGTTTCATGCTATGTTGAACAGTGGGATTGGAAAGAGTTAAGTTTGCAGTATTTCATAGTTCAGTGGACAAATTCATTGCTCCTTAAGAAATCAAATGAGTAAAACAAACTCTATACAAACAAAACGAAATGAGAAAAACAGTACTGTAAAACTGATGGGAAACGGGTAAAGGAAGGCTGCGAGTACGCATCGCAAAGTGGCTGATTTTATCTTGTAACTGTTAAAAGAGTATCTGACCGACGAAGGATTTACAGGTTACTAGTTGTTTTAAGAACTACAATAGTTCGTGTACCCGTCTGTATTTCTGGTTTCTTTTCTTCTTGAGTATTCGACAATGTTATCGCAAATTAATACAACTTTGGTCAACTACGTTTTGTAAATTGGGCAAATGTGTGAGTGGAAATCCAGTTTGAATACCAGGTGCCTTGCATGTTGGATGGTGGAGTCTAATGACAAGTATCCGTTTAATACAGGTTTGTAACAATAGAAATGACCCTTGCATCCACCTTTTAGAGGTCCGCGTCCGCTGAAGAGAGGTAACATCTTAATAAGGGGGGAAAATTGGTGACTTTGGCTACTGTCAGCTTAATACAGGTTTCACTGTAAATTTTCTCAGCCAAAGAAGTTCACTTATGTCCAGAGAAGCACGCAATGGCGAAAATGGCGAATCTGGCGAGAAATAGCCTGAGAGCTGGCGAAAACGTAAATGAGATTACAAGAGGTGCACCTTGTATAGTAGAGAAGTTGACGAAAATGGAAAAACTGCCTGACATAAATGGCACATCTGGTCAAAATGGCGAATGTGGCAAAAGTTTTGCCCTGGGTTTGGTAAATATTCAAACTGGATACCAAAAACGCCCCAAGGAGAGTGGCGAAAATAGTCAAAACCTGTCAGCAATGGTGAAATAGGCGAATCTGGCAAAAAAATTCGCCAGGGGGTTGGCAAAAATGAAAATGACCTTTGAGAGGGGATATTTTGGCGAAAATGGCAAGTTTGGCGAACAAACACCAAAGTTTAAACCACAAAATTCAAATGACAAGTCAGAGAGGCCCATAGAAAGTGGCGATTTTGACGAATGTGCCGAGTTTGGCGAAAATGGCAAGTATGGCAAAAATTCGTCAACCCTTATGCCAAATAAGATAGCAAAGGGGCCCTTTGGAAAGTGGCGAATTTGGCGAAATTCGCCAAAGATGCGACTGAACTTCTTATGATATGTCCAAAGGGTCCCCTTCATTAGTGGCGATTTTGACAAAAATGGTAAACATGGCGATGAGACCAAAATGGCGAATTCGTCATTTTCGCCAAATTTGCCATTTTCGTCAAAATCACTACTTTTCAAGAGGCCCCTTTGGACGCCTTTGAATTTTCCCAAACCTTTGTCATTTTTGCCATTTTCGTCACTCGTCACTTTTCAAGCGGCCCCTTTGGACATTCTTGAATTTTCGCCAAACCTTTAAGGAACTTTCTCCAGATTTGCCATTTTCGTTGTTGCATGCATTTCTGGTCATACGAAAAGTTAGCAGGGTTATTATTATTGAAGGAGATTAAGCCCCCTCCCGAGCGCAAAATTAAATAACTTCTTACATTTTGAAAACTTGTTTTCGCCTCTACGATATTCTCAGGCCCCCCCTGTGCGTAATAGAATAACGACGGCTATCACGTTTCTCGCCAAAATGGCGCTGGCTCACGAACGCGCACTACTAAGTATTGAGAAAACCTCGACCTCGTAGTCGTCCTCGTCTTAGAATCTAAAGGTCTCTAATGGGTTACTACAGGATACAGTGGCAAATCTAACATCGTACCTGTGTTGCACTAGATATTCCACAAGGTTGGTGTCAATTGTGTCAAGGCTAAACATTCCACTACTTACTCCAGCTCCGTGAAACATTACAACTGGGCCTTTTGAGCCACCATTGTAGCGAGTCAATGCTATTTCAAACTGAAAACATGACAATTTTATGTAGTTGAATAAAGGAACACAAGACTTAAGGGCAAGCAAACACTAGTCAGGATCTTGAAAAGGAAAAACAAGAACATATGCTTGCTGTGATTTGTCTCCGTTCAGACGAAAGCCTTCCTGAGTGGTGACTATTGCCTTGTCTTCTTCAAGCTTCCCAACAATTAGAAGGGATTGTTAAAAAAACCCATTAATATTCGAACCGTTTAGGAGACGTAGAACCTGGTAGTATGGCCTATCCTCTCCCCGTCAGGAAAGGCAAGGAAAATTGGGGCCTGGACCGGGGCCTTCAAACCCAGACCCATTGCTCACTTTCCTACCCTGAAAAGAGACCTTAATTTATTTCATGGCCCTGACTCATTTCGTCTGCGCAAAGAATTAAGCAATTTTCCCAACTAACGATCGTGGAATTACATTTTTTGGAAAATTTCAGAGACCAACCCTAAAAACCTACAAAAACACACCTTGTCTTCAGTGGTGCAGTTGAAGACTTCAGGAAGGCATCCACGAAGCCTCAGAAGTCTTTTCTTCCTAGGTGGAGCATCAGGGTCAAAGTACTTATCAAATGAGGAGACTGGACTGTACACATCCCAGAGGGTTTTAGCAAAGAACGCACCAAAACGTGCCATCCAATACAGCTCCTCACATGTGCTGTGGGTATTAATGATCTCCATTGTCTCAAGTTGCTTAGCAAAGTTGGCAGCAGTTATGTAAAGTGTTGCGTTGCCCAAGGGCTTTTTCTTGCCAAGGCGGAAGATTTTGACGAACAATGTTGTGGTATCCTTCAATCCAGTTTCACCAAAATGGTCCTTGTGGACATACTTGACACCTTCAAAGGAAAACTGCCTGCCTTCATCTCCATTAAGAGTCATTTTATACACCATGTTCTTAGTGTCGACGTTCTCTTTACTGGTACTGAACAGCTGAAAATGGCCTACCAAAAACAATGAAAGTGACACACCAGTTAATCGCCTTGTTTTTCTTGAGTCTCCTCGTGGCTTAACAATCAGACAGAACGCCTGCCCAGTGTTTCACAGGTCATAGGTCCCAATCCTGTCAATGACTTGAAAATTGTTATCTTTGCTCCACACTTGTGACATGATTCTGGATAAGAAATAACTCTCTTAAAGAGACACTCCCTTCATCCAATTCTATACAAGGGTTCTTTAAACTTTACTTCACTATTATTGAAAATGCTTCAGTAGCAAAAGCTTACATAATAAAAAGATATAATTGTAATCTAAACAAAAAAAACTCTCCATGTATGACCACCTCTCGTAAGCGACCACCAATCCAAGACACCAAAACCTTTTCAGTGAAAGCCTCATAGGTTGTACACCAGTCTCGTAAATGAACACCTCTCGTAAGCGGCCGTGATCACTTCTAAGGGAACAGTTTTATAATCTTGTATTGTTTTCAGGCTCCTGTAGGCGAACGCTCTCTATGTTCACTGTATGTACAACGCTAAGAACTTTAAGTGACAAATGGAACTACACATATCGTTACTTAGATATTGCATACAATAAATTCTCCTGCAAAAAATTAAATTTCTTGGAACCTCTTCTCGGAAAAGACCCCTTGTGGATCGATTTTAGAAAGGGAGCACACCGTATTTACTGGAATAAGCGCCGCCCCCGATTAAGCACTGCTTAAGACAAAAAGCCCTGAAACCCTTGAATGCGATATTCGTTTATTTAGGTCCCTTTGAAGTTAGATCAATCCTGTTGAAATCGAAGAAGTGACTTGACAGAACTTTTACGGTATTATTCTTAGTGTTACCCTAGATAACCCTAAATATCTCTTGGTAAATAAAAACAACAGCAGTGCACATACCATCAGAAACCGTTAGTGGAGATGAGGATAATTCCAGACATGTTACTGTTCCACTTATTTTAGCGGAGTGAGATGGGTCACAGATAAGCATCTGTTCCAAATCATCCGACTCAATGGTAAGTGTAAATTCGCAAGGCATTTGTTTGCCTTCGTTGTTCGATGATTTATATGTCCCCTCCATCTTTTCTGTGAAGCGAATTCCAGGCTTTGGTTTGACAAAGCTAGTTTGATCTGCAAACAAAATAATATTAATATAGAGTCCTGAGACATTCACAGAGTGTTTGCCACCCACCGAATGATTTTGGCTTGTGTACCTCTTGATTTGAGTGGTTTTTAGTCATTACTGTGGAATTTTGAAGCTGATGGTCCATGGTGGGAGAGGGGGGGGGTTGCGGGGTATTTTACAGTGCAAACGATGATACTCTTGTTATACTATGGCATCCGCAATCAATGTACCTCTGAGCTTTCGTTAAAAAAGATTGGAAACTCACTTCTTTTAGCCATGTACGATGTGTACAGGACAATAGAGTATGACCAAAGCATGCTTCTGGTACGATCTTTTAACCCTCCTGACTTGAATCAGGGTATAAATTTTAAACTTTGTGGTCTGAAATAGGGTGGATCAGATTGGTCCAGAATTGAGTATGGATTTTTGAGACTTCAAATTTTAGATTCCAAATTAAAAGTGTGGACACCTCTGGTGTATAGGGGGGAAAGGCTGATAAACAGAAAAAGTTTTTGCAAATTGATTTCTCTTGTTATGGGCCATCTCATTTTTAGACAAGCACTTAACAAAAACCAGTTGACAGCAAAGCGGAAGACCAAAGGAGCAAGGAAGCGCATGCAACATGCTTGTTTAAAACAAGTATGTTACGCAGGCAGTCCCAGAGTCAGTTTAGCCAAGGCCAAAAGCAAAGTTCTCGTAGGATCTTTAAAGAAATGTCTTTCTGAAGAAATTCAACTTTTGTCATAAACAAGGAAGCAAACTGAATCTTATCTGAAAAATGGACCCGAGCCTGCGATCCATTGAGAACAATATCTGGTCAGCGGAGAGCTTTAAAAACAAATCACCTCAATGAGTTGTACAGCTGAGCCTGTGATACAGTTATGTGACACTGGTCAGCATATACCCTATTTCGACAGCTGTCAATTGACCATAGCATGGATGTCCAGTACTTACTGTGGACTAATAGCTACAATGCAGTGTGACATTTCACATCCGCTAAAATGGGGGACGTATGTACGGACGATTTTGTCAAACCAAAATTTCTTGGATGAAAAGATAACCAAATTTTATCACCCATGGCTCTGTGCTATAAATAAATATTTACAACTACGGTAACCACAACTCACCGAGCGGCTTGAATGTGTCATAATCTATGTGCCAACCCTCTCGTTTAGCAAGAAGTCGTAAACAGCGTTCTGCCAGGCACGAAATGGTAAGAGTTGGGTTGACTCCAACAGCTACTGGAAGAATGGCACCATCTACAACATAGAGTCCTTCAAGCACACTACCAGAATCACCTAAAATGATATAAGTTATATAATTACCATACATTGGTTTATAGACTTAATATATTTATTTCCTTAATGACTGTTCCAGCATTCGGCAAATGGCCTGACTTCTGTCTGTGTGTGTGTTGTGGTCTCATTCGCTCAGAATCCCTTAAAGCTAATTCAGCTAGGCCGACCTCATGAATAACAATTGGTACAATGAATATTTCCTGAATTTAAGAACATTCAGAGCCATTACTTTAAGCTTGAGGTGCATTTGATTGATCGTATTCCAGAATACGAATACGCAAAAGTTTTGTTGAAAATTTCCTGTACACTGATATTTGGGCCACTTGATTGCTGCATAAATAGGAATATTTTTATTTCAAGCAAATTTCTAACTATTGCAAAGCAATGAATGCCAAAATGAGTACTGAATTTTAAGAGTTTATTCCTTTATTGTTATTCTGGAATACGGTCAATTGAACGTACTATTAACAAATATAAGCGCCAAAAGCATTTATAACATAACAAAAGTAAATCGCGCGCTCTGATTGGTCAGTTAGCCACTACCATTTGCCCGTGGGTGGCAAGAAACTGAGCTAGCGCGGTAAAATTTAGGCAAAATAATTCAACAAATCTCCTCTGCTGACGGTAAAATACACCAATGAAATGCACAGATGAAAAGTGGAAGTTGAAGAAAATACTAAGCTGTCGTTTTGAAGGAAAAAAGACAATAGATCAAGCGACAAATTTGCCCCGGATGAATTAATCACTGTTTTCCTCGCGGCTAGAATCGGTTGAAGGAAAATCGAGCGAGCGAAGATTTAAGGTACATTTTGTGTGTTTTTTATAGAAGAGAAAGTCTGTTTGAAATGTAAATTTATCAATTAGCATTATGTTATTGACTTTTTGGTCAAGCTGACGCTAAATTCAAGCAAATATCTTAGGAAACACGCTCAAATTCGAGACAGCTTTGTTGTGAAGTTTTCATCGCATCGATTAATTTTTTTAGTTGAGTTTAAACGAGTACATAATGCTGGAATAAGCGAATTTCATTTGAGTACAGACACATTTGGGTTTTCAAATAAGTTTTTCAAAAATAACTTCTGTGTGTATTATTTTGTTCCTCAGTGTTCATTCATAACAGTCGTTCAGAGAACGGTCGAAAACAAACAGCTTCAGCGCCGGCTGTGTGTCGGCAAATTTCAGTTGCAACTTTGACTTTCATAGCTGGATTTCCCCAGAAAGATTTCGATACAAAGCTAGTTAATTTCTTTTTAAAATTACTAGTGTTACCTGTTATTCTAAAGGAATTACAGTCAAATTTTCTCATTTCTTTTTTACGTTTATTTAAAAAATTGTCACATAAATAAGCTTGATAATTACCGTAAATGCTCGAATTAGCGCCCGGGGCGCTTATTTAATTTTCTAAGGCGAGAGGGGGGCGCTTATTTCGTTTATCAATTTTTAGCCTCAAAATGACACTATCTTTATTTCTAATTAAAACCAAACTGCAACATAAAAATTCAAAAACCTTATAGAAAACTACTTTTTGCGAACTCGAAACGTTCTTAAGACTTTTTCATCAAAAAGTGTATTTTATTTCTGCAATAGAACAAGCATTTGGATTCTTAATCACCTTCAATTTCTGTGTCGCTGTCCTCAAGGATGAATATGGATATTTCTATCAAGGAAATGAGAAGCAAACCCGTTCGACTTTGAGAGGACATTACTGTTTATACTATTTAACAATGTCACATTTCATTAAAAGAACCGTATAGACCGTATACGTCTCGTATATCGTACCGAGTACCGAAACTCATTTTTTCTCGGGGGAGGAGTGGGGGCGCTTATTACAAATTTTGAGCCTTAGGAGGGGCACTAATTCGAAGCGGGGCGCTTATTTGAAGCTGGGCGCTAACTCGAGCATTTACGGTATATCATTTATTTAGTTTTAGCTTATTTTTTAGTCTTTTTAGTTGGTGTTTATAGTTGCAGCTATAGGTTTCCCTCAAAGTGTTTACCCTAATATTAAGAGCAAGTAGACAGATGCCATTCAGAATAACAACAAAAACGTTTTGCAATTTACCTGAAGCCGGAGAACGGTTGATTCAGCAAAAGAAAAACTCAAAAGGGGCGGGCAGATGGCAGCATACATAAACTCGGACCGATGACTCAACCGAAGGCAAATGGAAAATAATGTTTTTCTCTTTTGATTACGTTATAAAAGAAATGGTAAACGTTGCAGCTGTGCAACCATGGAGTTATGGATGCACTTGGAAGGTTTGCTAAGCACTCAAGAAGCTAGAGTCGCACTCGGCTGTCGCCTACGCCTCTTTCGTGCTTACCAACCTCCCGCGTGCATCCGTAACTCCATGGTTACACGCTACACGTTTACCATTTCTTAAATTGTACGTAATCTGCAACCTTCCTGCACGGCTTTTACGGTACAACATAGTTTTGCAATAATGGGTGCTAGCGAGAGATAAAACGGCAGCATTTAAGGAGGAACAATTTTGCTTTAACATTGTTTTAGCATATTTGAAGACTACAAGCATCATGCAGCCCACAATTTTGGGCTTCCGATGCATGCTCGATGGATCCATGAACGTTGCAGAACGAACGCGTAAGCACTGTGCAAACGAAACGGCAGCAGTGAGGTCATGCAGCGCTGCATGAGCGCTACTCGGTTCGGACGGGATGCCCTTGGCCATATGTGTAAATCAGGCTGCAAGATCTCCAGCTTTTCCACAGAGAAACTTGCCAACGTTTATGATTTGAAACCATCGCAACAATAATTGTATCACCTCTTCATGGCCTGTACACCCGTAGCTTAAGAGAGTGCAGAGGTTTTAATCGATGGAAACTAGCACGCCTCAGCCCAATCTTCAAGAGAGCTGATGGGCTAGAGAAAGGTAACTATCGGCCTGTCTCTCTCCTGAGTATAGCCAGTAAGATCCTGGAGTCGGGCGTTTCTGACATTGTCGTATCGCACGTATTCAGGGAAAATGAGTGCCTTGTTACTGCTCACTAGTGGGCATTTCGTAAAGGTTACTCCACTGAACTATTAGTAATATATCTAACGGAGACCTGGAGGCGTGCTCTCGATATTAACCGTGTTGTTGGAGCAGCAGTTGTGGACTTTCAAAAGGCATTTGATAGCGTTTCGCACTCACCCCTGACTACGAAATTGTATCAACAGCTTGGGATTACAGGCAACTTACTGCTATAGCTGCAGGACTACCTTACGGACAGCTTTGAGCTGTAATGGGAAGCTACTAGAATGTGTCACAACAGCTAAGATACTGGGGGTCCACATGGACGAACATCTAACATGGGCTGACCACGTGACTGCGCTTCTTTCTTCCTGTCATGTAGCATTGGCGGTTCTCCGGAAACTGCGCAACCTCGCACCATACCATGTTCGCAAGCAGTTAGTGGAGTCATCAGTGATGTCAAAACTGGACTACGGGTGCGTCGTCTTCTATCCCCTTCCAGAATACCAAATGAAACGGCTGCAAAGAGTTCAAACAACTTGCGCGGGCTACGTACTTGGGTGGTATGCTGTTTTAGAGGACTTGCAGAGATTAAAATGGCTTCCAATTATTAAAAGCAGAGACCTGGCACTACTGAAAATCACTCATAAAGCCCTCTACGATGATGTTTGGCCTGTTTTCTTCCGCCTTAAGTTCCATACTGTCAGTGCCTATAACTTGAGATCTCTTCAAGCACCAAATTTGGCCATTCCAACTGAAAGCGGCACTTTTCAGGACTCAGCAGCGAGATTATTAATACAATGATTATTAATATGATGGTTTGACATGAAATACTTACCCATGTTAAGCAAACGCAGCCATTAAATGAAGATGTGTTTGAAGCTAGCATACTGCGCTTTTTCATCGCCTCCTTCAAAAGATTCTAGGATGAGTACTTTTTGGGGTTTTTCACTGTTTGTTGAAGTTGAAACCTTTTGATGTTTTTTCCCTTCCAAAAAGTGATTTCAGATCTCTGTGTTTGTGGCTAGAGTGTGTGTACATCCATTGAAAAAAGAAGGCTCTCAGCTATCATTGGTACTTTTTATCAGTACCATTTTCAAAAGATGGTAGGATGGTTTGCTTTCAAATTTTCTTCTCTTTTTATGTTGAAGTTTAAATCGTTCAAAATGTGACGGCCAATGTCTCCTTTTATCTTATTGCGATTCTCGCTTTGCGTGTGAACGGTCATTCCTTACAGGAAAGGAATGTCATGGGGAATGTGCTCATTGTAGATCACCACGATGATGTACATCTACCTTTCCTACCTACCTACCTTTAAACAATTCCTTCGCTATTACCATTTTGATTTATACGGCGGCGTTTTAACCAAAACTTTAGTTGAGCAACAGTCTCAATTTCTCTCTCTTCTTCAATAAAGCGAGCACCGGGAATGTTCTCTGGAGTAAGATCGACTTGATCGTCCGTCATGTTAGTTATTTTAAATTTACCGCGAGGACTATTAAGCCTCACTTCCATGCAACTTCCGGTTTTTTTCTGGAATTGGAGTATTGCAGGCAACAAATTATCTTCCAGAAAGTTGATGTGCCCGGAGGCCCCCTGTGGCTCGATTCTTGTAAACGATCACCTCCCGTTAGCGACTACTAAGTCTTTGTATTTTGGTTGTTCACTTACGGGAGGTTTGACTGCATCTCAATAGTACACGCTGACCCGTTTACCATTTGTTACGTGTTTAAATGTTATATTTTGCTCAATTACCATCAAAGACTTGTCCAGCATGGTTTACCACAGCAGTTTGTCCAGATTCTCCCATGGGGCAGCCACCTAGAGGATGTGCTGAGATCACATTCTTACCAAGAGCAGGAGTCCACATGGGATTTTGCACAAATGTCCCGCTGAGACCTTTAGTGACTTTTTTCATTGCCTGATTGCAGGTCACAAAGTTTTCCTGATAACCAACTCTCTTCCAGGTGATGTCAACATCGTCGTTGGTGTTATTGTAAGTGATGATACCACTTGCATCATCATGGCTCATGCACAAGAAAGAAAGACTTTTGTCGATTCCTTTACCCTTTAGATCCTGAAAATGTTAAAAAAGGTTTCTCTTAATTTCTCTAACATATTGGTTTCAAATCCTCAATATTATTGAAGGAAACTCTAGTATACTGGCAATTATCCACCTTATTGAGCTTAAACTTTCACAAACGTAACCACTAGACACACATTTACAGTGCTAAGGCCTATACAAGATTAATTTAGTTTTAGCTAGACTCGCCAAAAGGCGGATTCACTCACTTTTCACTGGGCTGCTTCTGCTCAGTTATACTAGACAGAAATATTGTATCGTATGAGAACGAGGAGTTTACTAAAACAAACTCGACAGCCAACTGCCCATTGATCCCGATCTACGGGCCTCATTGATTACATTTGCATTTGTACACTGACAAGATCCTAATTTGCTGTCTACAGTCGACATGTGGTAACCGTTTTCATGTTAAACGCATTATTTTTCCCACAAGATAAAAGATATTCAGTTTTAAGATTTTTCTCTTGGTATTTTTCTCTAACTTAAAAGAATAAAATCCTTTGCATTTTGTGATCTATGTTGCTTATCGGCACGCACTTTAAACAATGCAAACAGATGAAACGATCGATAACATATTTTTTACCGTGATACTAATATCATATTAATATGAGTTAAAAATTCGCTCGAGTTCGCTGTTTGTCTCACCCGTGACTAACTTTTCTTCATGGTAGAAAATTATGCGGCTTTATAACTCCTCCCGAAGTTTTTGTACCAGCTAAACAATATCGAAACACTATTCACAGTCCTATATGCCCTCGTCTACTGCTGATCACATGTGCACGAACTCTCTCTTTTCAAGCGATACATCTCAATGCACAATAATTGACCCTTATATTAATAAAAACCCTATGGGTCATTCACATTAATACTGTTTTTGCCCCTCACATTAACAGTGTTCATTCGTATTCAAAACACCTTTAGGAAAATAAAGGTCGTGTAAGTCATGTGTATTATGTTTCGAGATAAATCGATTTTTGGCTTTTTTAAGTTCCCATTTTGCAGTGGCTTAAGTTCACATCTCCATAAAAAAAATGGTACACATAGCGAGAAACATCACGCGGGCTGTAAATTTTGAAAGGTTTTTTGAAACTCGCTAATGCTGACATCAATATATCGTGCTTGCTGAATGGGCGAAAACACAAACTGAATTGAGGAGAAGCATAACAAATGATAATAAGATCATGTACAAATTTAAAGATAAAAGCTTAGCAAGATACAGATACAAACAAGAGCAAAACCTCTGAAACCTCTGGGCTACACTTGTATGCTCTATCTACTCAGTGACCAAACCTTGTCGGTAATAGCTCATATTTTCCTCAAGTTGGTCTTTGTGATCGAAGCTCCCGGATCTGATGTCCTGGTGAAGTTTTGAACTTGTGTGCGAAATTCTCAAAGTTCCTATTTTTGTCCGTGTCTTCTTTATCCTTATACGAAATTTAGACCTCCAAAGTGGCGTGTGTTGCATTAAATAGAAGAAAATATTAAAATGAAAAGCCAGTCTTCTAACACGGCAAAGTTGTCACTTCCCTCGCTCATGGACGTCCATTTCTTAACATCAGGATTCATCTAACAAACATCGACTGAGTTGTTCGCTTCAGTACAACGGCTTACAAGCAAGTCCTCAGCTAGTGTGTCATCAGTTGGTATAATACTTTGGTCGTAAATTTTGGTTGTTAATTGCTCATGTATTAAATCGATCGTTAATTCTCTCTTTGAGTTCACGAAAAGGCCCGTTCCAAAACTGACGCTCACAGTCATTTTTTGGTGTTAACCTACCGTGAACATCGTGTGGGTTCGTATGCAACGTGAGCATTTCTCTGATTTGGTTTCCCAGCGCCAACATCACCAATTGACTTAAACTCGAACAATGACAAAACTCCTATGATCGAATCGTTTCGAACAACGTCAACAACAATAGTCTTCTTGATTCGCAACGCCTTCTGGGTTTCTGGGGGGCGGACGCGAGGTACAAAACGAGGATTTTTCGTGCAAGGGAAAATCGTAGGAAACCACTTGTAAGATCATCGTTTCTCAGTACCAGACCCTCGTGTCTTCCCCTCCGGGTGTACGTTTTTCTTCGTAGACGACCGAAAACCGAAATTATAACTGCGCTTGCCCCACAGGCAGCCCACTAATAATTATTATTAACTGGGTTGACAATAAAAGTAAATTTAAAGCCACCATAAAGAGATTCAAAGAGCAGAATGGGAATGCTAGCTAGCCCTCCATCATTCAGCTCTCAGAAATTTCTTTATTTTTTGTCACATTCCTACCTGCCATGCCCTTTCCAGTAATTCAGCTGAGGAGTATGTCTGAATTCCGATCAGTTTTGCAGCAACCGACAAACCAACAGAGTACATACCAGAAATCACCGATGGAGGCGTTCCATCTTCAACTACGAAGCCCTTCTTGTGGTTTCCATCAGTTTTTCTGAAATCCATAACAGACGTTATACAAGGGCCTGGAGGTTTTTTATTTCTTGCCATGTGTTGAGTTGTTAGCCCAACAGAGTTGGCATTTTCTGCGCCATTGAAGCTGAAACCCAAGACATCTCCATTTGTGGAAAAGTTCTTTCCTATTTGGTTAGATACATTAAGCCCCTGCTCTCTAGATCGAAGCAACAGTTTGGTAGAGCCAAGTGCTCCTGCACCAATGATGACATGAGTAGCTCGTATGGCTTCTTCTTTAACAGTGAAACTGCCTCTGACTAGTCGCTTGTATTTTACCATCCACTCAGTAGTCCCAGGTGCCTTGGTTACTGACATGACTTCCACCTTTAAAAGAGTGGCTATCAGCGTAATAAAAAATTCATTATGCCAAGGGATTAGCAATATTAACTATAGCCCAGGCAATAGGGCTAAAGATTGTATCGACAGAGAGTTGACAAGGTAAGCTGACATCTTTCAAAGCTGCTAGAACTGAGAGTGACCCCACGATTGTTTTAGTAAAAGTTTACTGCAGGTACACTTTATTCTAGTGCAAATTCTGGGAGCTCACACGGACCTGACAATGCATTTAGTAAGAACTATTTCTAAATCATAATGGCTGAGTCATTTCCTAAGTTTAATGCAAAGGATCTTTCTTTTTCCATCAGTTCTGCTACGCTACTTTAAGTGTGTTCCTGTTGACAAAAAAGTCGTCAAAAAGTGGTCTATATGTAGCTTTTCAACTTGTAAATTACTAGTAACCCTTACAATGACACGTTCTGTTTTCATTTGCTTCTTCTTTACTACAACTGATAAAAAAAATCATTAAGCTCTACAGGCCTGTAAATTCACTATCAGGTGCCTCATTAATTTACAGAATTAGTCATATTATAAACATCTTAGTGGTCTTGTTTCTGTGAACCATATACATACTGTTAATATTATAGATCCTCACTTTTAAGGCCCAAGTGCGACGACTGCAGCAACTCATGTTTAAGTAAATAAGGACCATTTCAGTAGTTGAACTTTTCATGTACCGAACTTAATACCTATTTGGGTCGACCCAAATGATGTAAGTTTGATGGCGGAAGTTGATTCAGACAACGAACTGAACATCGGCCCGGCCAGACTGGACGTTGGACTTCACGTCGGCCTACATTCATTTTCACGATGTACAATGGTCTACAAAGCTCACCAGTCAAAATAAATTAAAGTAATTTATGTATTTGACTCGGCACATGAAAAGTTCGATGTTTGAAATGAAGTCGCTCAACAGTCAAAATTCCCATGTGGCCCACTGGAACTTAATTCATGGGTCGACCCAAACTAAATATGTCGGATTTTTAAATCCGACATATTTAAAAATGATCCAAATGTTGATCTTTTCATGTACTTAATTAAGGTGATTAGGTTAGGCACAGCTGTACATGAGAAGTTCAATGTTTGAACTGAGCCTAATAATCGTCCTAGTGACAACTCAGCTCCTACTGTACCTCTGTGAATATCTCTGCCCCGTGAGCCTTGGCATCAGGCAAGTAGTTCATGGTCAGAGTATTCTTTGCACCAACATTACAACCACCGCAGCAGTTTCCACAGCCAGTACACTTTGGCTGTGGAACTCCAACATGATTGGATGGTTTGTCCTCAAATGTTACATAAAGAGGAGCTTTGTAATAGGCCTTTTTAATGTCCTCAATATCGCATGCACCAAAGCCATCTTCCATCCGCTTCATTTTGTCCAGTTTAGGGTAATGATCTGGATAAGTGGTGGGTTTCAACATATCCACCACATGCTTTCGGTCAATTTTCATTAGGTTTTCAAGGTCTTCCTTGAGTTCTGATGGCCATGACTGGTCCCTATACACTTTTTTATCAGCATCAAGGCCAACATTGGCATTTATGAGGGAGCCTCCTCCAAGACCACACCCCTGGACAACGCTTAAGTCGTCAGAGACATAAAACTCATATAGACTAGATGGTTCCCCTGCAAAGTCAATTCATAGTTGCAGGGTTATGATTATATATTTCATTCTTTATACAAAATGTCAATTATTTGTACCTAAATAAAGGAAGTTTACAAAATTAAATTGTATTTTAACTTCATTTTGAAAGGGTGTTTCTTTGTATTAAAAGGTTTCAACCAATCCTAACGGTTGCAAACAATAGCCAAGGAAAGTTTTCAATTTTCACATGTTCGTCACATAGATTTCTGTGTTGTTTAGCCGTAGACCAGATTTTGTAATAAGGAAGTTGGTTGGAAAACTAAGGATAAGTATAAATGCTGCTTTGCCAAGTTTTGTAAAATTTTAGCTTTTTTAATCAATCAGAAGTATAGACAACAGTAAAGTTAGCACCTTTGTGCATTCCAACACGTTAACCGCAAGCCTGCTGAGAGCAAACTCGTTCTCCAGGGCACTCTCTAGTTGTTGCGTTTCTTTTCAGCCGGACCATTAATTAATTAACAACTGCGTCGCTTAGTGGAGGTGGGTGCCTGAGATGTCCAGGGGGTTCCACTTTTCGCAAACAAGCCAGCCCCTAGACAGAGTTACATCCTCATGGCTGGTAAACACGCGCCCTCCAGCTATGAGCCCCCACACCAACGGAACCACTGAGGCACCTGTCACACTGATTTATTCAGTGGGTGGGATGGGGGTAAAAGAATGATCCAAAGGCTAAACGAAGAGAGTGGCCGTCAGGAAACGTTATACTAAGCACATGAAGATGATGCAAGCAAGGCTGACCGCGCTTGACCCACCGCGCTGACCACTGATCGACACCTGCACTCCTAGTTGTTAACTGTGTTAAATTTCATTTAACTACATTAAAATTTACTCCACTGCTTAATGACGCAAATATATATATATATATTCATGACTTGTAAGCATTACCTTTTGTGTTTTCCCCGCCACGATGAATCTGAATTTCCTTTAAGGCAGCAAGGAATGACTCTGGAAACTCACCAGGTAGCCACTCCTTCCCTCGCTCCAACACACATACAGTTTGACCAGCTCTTGCACAACGGCTGGCTGCAATAGACCCTCCATATCCTGATCCAACAACCACTACATCATAGGTGGGCTTAATGGATGCATGGGCACACGACAATCGGGGAAATTCAGGTTTAACATTTTCTGAGGCAAGCCGCTAAAACAGAACAGTCACTAGATTTAGAAGAACTAGATGGTAGAAGAACTAACTGCCACTTTAAAAATTTAATATCGTGAATATTACAGAACTTTCTGAAATAAAAATCACACATTAAATTAATAGATGAGGTGTATATATTTTTACACACCTTAGACCTGTGCAAATTCCTATTTTTATACTACTACAACAGAAATTTCTGCAATTTGATTGGCTTAGAGCAGTGGTATTTCAGCTTAATTTGAAATAGTCACATGTGAAAATTACAAACCTTTTGTGGGTGGTAGTATAAACAAATAATAGCATGATTTGTACGTGATATTTGGCATAAATACCAATTGTGATATTTCAAAATTGTCTCAAATTTCACTCGCCTAACGGGCTCGTGAAATTACGTATAACAATTTCGAAATATCACTCGTGGTATTTATGCCAAATATCACTACAAATCATGCTATTACCTATACAAATCGTAGGCTCAGGAAAATAAACATTAATAAGTATAGGTAATAGCATGATTTGTAGTGATATTTGGCATAAATACCACGAGTAATATTTCAAAATTGATATACCTAATTTCACGAGCCGTTAGGCGAGTGAAATTTGAGACAATTTTGAAATATCACTAGTGGTATTTATGCCAAATATCACTTACAAATCATGTTTTTTTTTTTACTACTACCCGCAAAAGGTTTGTAATTTTCACACGTAGGTATTTCAAATTAAGCTGAAATACCACTGCTCTAAGCCAATCAAATTGCAGAAATTTCCCATGTAGTAGTATAATAATAATAATAATAATGAGTCTTTATTCATCAGATAAAAATACATATCAGATGTTACAATATAAAAGGAATTAAAAAGTTTTTAAAAGTCTGAATATTATATAGCTAAGTTATACTTAAAAATTAATCTATTAAAAAAGCACTGTAAAAAACAGTGTAGATTCCGTGCTTTTCCTTGAGTGTTATACAGTGAAAAACGAAACTGGAACTGGCACATCCTTGATATCATATCAGTAATTTTTCAACTTTCCACTTCAACTTCTTTTCAGAGCAGTCTCACAGCAGTAAAATTAGATATACATAATTGTATTCTTTGTCGTGATACGGTCTTTTGAATTCTGGGGAGTAAACCTCTGTTCTTAACGTTTGCTGTTGGCACCTTTGAAAACAAAGCTGTGGGGTCCAAAAACCTGTTTCAACTTCGTGCTTCTGCCGTTCTGAGCTGGCTCAAATTCAGCAGGACTCTAGCACGACTGGGCACGACTTGGTTTCAAACGTCAATTTTAACTCATTCCAATAATAAATAGTTGTTGTTGAAAACAAAATTTAAAAATAAAACGATCTAGGGAACTTTTAAAATGTATAATTTGTGAATTGACTTTGGCATGACGTTTGAAACCAAGTCGTTTTACTGACGTGCTTAAGTCGAATTTAATCCAATCAAATGAGTTTGACATGGCAGTAGCAAAACATTTGAAACAACGCTGAGCAACCCGTTGCAACAGGTGTTGCAAGAAACTGCCGTCAAAAGAGGTGGGAGAGGGGGCGTATTTTGCATTTTGCGGTTTACAGTTCAGTAAGCTCTTTTTTTCGCCTTACCACTAGTTCTGTTGTCCAGTATCTTTTGTTCTAACTCCCTTCTGAATAAAACCTACATATTATTCCTGTTTCATCTGAGCGGTCACCGTTCACAGCTGACCAAGGACAGAGATGCCATTGACCATTTCAAATGTAATAATGTCACTAAACGGGTACTTTTAGCTGCTATTGGGTTAGCAGCTGTTCTGAATGGCTTTAAAAACGTCATAAATGAGTTTACGGCAGTAGCCTTTCAAAACAGCCGTTTCTCCTTGCTCCTCGCCACTAAGGACGTTTCGCCAGGAGGAACGTTTGCGACTCAGCGACAGAAATTCCATACTGATGACGTAAAATCTGTCCGGAATCTCGTCAGGAGCTCTGATTGGTCGAAGTAGTAGTTATATTGTCTTACCTATTGTTTGCGAATGACAGACAAAAGACAAAAAGGCAACAAAGGTTAAATGTAGACGTGATGAATTATTACAAAACTGTCAATATTCCTAGAATATGTTCTTCTTTAAAAAAAAGCATCTGAGTTTTGCTGGAGCTCGTTCGCAAAAGATCGTAAAACTTTATTATAATCGACCAGGAGAAAAATAAAATAAAATAAATTTACTTTTGGAACCCCATGACTACCGGATTT